TATATTTACAAGGAAAAACCCGATAATATACCTTAAGAACCTTTCTGATGCCGTGGCCACAGCATATGGTACAGATTCCAGGTAAATTCCACAATATAATTACAATACCTCAATTTTTTTTGGTCATTTGTGCTAATTAAACGAGGTCTGTAACCCTGCATGAAGATGTTTAGCGAGAGTTCTTTAATTTGTTACCTCCAAGAGTCGTCTAATGCACAGAGGCTGGGTTTTTGGTCTTGTATCACGTATAAGGTGTAAGGCCAAAGCCACTCAACTGACCAATAACCTGAGAGACAGTTCTCACTGATGTGGCGCCACGCCTTTTTGCAATTAAAGATGAACTCAATTGACGAAATAATTATGTTTTCCTTCCCGATAGCATATTATTTTCTTACTTTGCTTTAAGACTCTCCATTGAGGAGAAAGGGGGATACTTTTTCTTTGTCCCGAAACCCAGGTTTAACCTCCATACAGGGACACCTTAGTACTCAAAACGTGACTGACTAAAAAGTGGGTTGCTTGTTAAGTTAAAGTGTACACTGATAACACTAACGATAACTTTCACAACATGGGAAATCAACACACAATATAGCAGAGAAACGTAAATCGTGATTTTTTATATACATTATTGAGCTGTTTGAAACAATGACTACTGCAACAGATCCATAGACAGGTTAATTATCATTGGTTGTTGGTAAATTATTATCAGACCTCAGCCCAACCTCTATTCAAGGCACATTTTTTTCGGTCCCGAGGGTGTCCCCTGAAAGAGAGGCTCCCAAGTAATTGGCTTCGGTTTGCAACTATTTAACAGTTATTCCTCGAGCCCGAATGGGCTCTGAGTCAATGGGCTATTGACTCAGAGACCATGAGGGCGATAGGAATAATTGTTTTAGTGAAATCCATAACATATAGCCTAGTAGTAGCTCAACCAATCAGAACGCAGCATTGATAACTAGTTGAATTTTACTAATAATGGAAAAACCACTCTCTGTTTTTACCTTTAAATTATTAACCTAGCGCGGCCACTTTGCCAACCACTATTAAATGCACTGAGGAGTACAATGGTATCGATAAACGCATCAGTCGTTTTGTTCTTCCGCTGGGAGCCACTGTCAACATGGACGGGACAGCGTTGTATGAAGGCGTTTGTGCCCTGTGGATCGCCCAGCTGCATGATATTGACCTCAGTGCTGGGCAGGTTATCACTACCGTGTATGTACCATTATACACCGCTTTAAACTTTTCTCTTAAGGTTCGGTAAAACGGGCAACGAAAATGTGCAATTCGTTTTGTAACATCAGACGTTGCACGTTTACCATCCACGAATAAAACCTGTCTTGCAACAAATCAAGTCGTTGCGGGGTTGCGAAAGGTTGTTGCAGTAAGTAGAGAGAGATTCTCCTTCAGTTTCCAAAAAAATATTGTACATGCCACGCGTTTTACCGGTCCAAGGCAAACTTATTTTGCATCAAGTGCTGTTAAACCCTTGTATGGCTTAACTCCGCAACTTGTAGTATTCTGATTGTTGCAAGACGAATTTGAAATTAGGGGATATAACGCATCTTTTATTAGGGGATACAAGTCGTGTGGCAGAAATATTGCAAAACAAGTTGCACGTTTTTGTTCCCCGTTTCAACCGTAGCATAAGGGCAAGTTGTAAAACTGTCCAGAATAGATTTACCGGAATTAAACCATGTAGTTGGTAGAGATTTCGGACTGAATGAAACTTATCGGTACTTGGTGTCCCCTTCACAATGTTTTCCTCTATAGTGTTGAATTGGTTTTGCTGGAAATATCACTGTGATGGAATAGTATCCTAGGAGAGGAGGAGGAGATGAGGGGAGGGGGGAGGGGGTGGGGGGGATTCACGACTTAGCTCCTCTGGGCACTTCCCAAACGGATCACAGTTACCGTATTGAGTGACGGTATCGAAGAGATATATAGGAAAGCCAAAAATTAAAAAAGCATGTTGTAAACAATATTTAAAGTTGTGACTTATAAAACTAAGAAATCATCTACATTTATCATAATTGGCGATGATTTTGTCAGGGAAAGACTTTTATTTATGAATTTTTAGACTAAAGCTTGTAGTTAAGGAAATTAGGCAGACATTAAAAATATCCTAAACGACCCCGTTTTGATTAATGTTATCAATAAAATTAATCAAATACATTAATGAATGTAATCCCTTATTTGGCGTCTATTCTCACTTTCAGGCTGACTTCCATGGCTGCAGCAGTGGGCGCGGCTGCAATTCCATCTGCAGGCTTGGTTACCATGTTGATTGTCCTTCAAGCTGTCAATCTGCCAACCGAAGACGTAGCTCTTCTTTGGGCCGTTGATTGGTTCATGTAAGCCAGACAGTTCCATCTTGTTTTCGGCCTTTATGTCTTTGGTTTCTTTTCCTTCCGCTTGTCCACTTTCGTTTTCCGTATTCAAGCTATTGTACGAAGAGAATAAAGTGGAAGCAAGTGACAAATGGTCTCAAATTTTAAGAGCTAGGTTCGAACCACTAAGGGTACTTTAAATCTACAGGGGGTTCTAATGTCTCTTTCCAGTCTTAATATGAAATGTGTGGCTATCTTGAGTTTATGCGTGCTTGAAGGCATGCTCTAGTTCGTTGTCACAAACAGTGTTTTTCTCGATAGTTACGAGGTGCCAGTTAAAGGATTAACAAAAACCTTCAACTTTTTAAAAAAATACTTTAGATAATGATATTTTTTTTCTTTGCAGGGATCGTTTCCGAACTGTGGTAAATGTTCTTGGTGATGCCATTGGGGCTGGAATAGTGGCACACCTGTCACGTGATGAGCTAAGGGAGGCTGACGAGGCAAATAAAGGAGATGACCAGGAGCTGCTCGAAAAATACAGGCCTAAGGACCCGGATATGGTTGTGTCCGGGTTGTAAAATTATTCGTTTTGAACCATGTTTAGAACCTATAAATGAGCATTTTCAAGGGGATTCCTGAAATTGTACGCGAGTAGTTTTTCGAAGATTTTCTTTAGAACGAACGGCACGGCAATGACCATATAGTTTTTAGACACTTTTACAGGTGTATTCGTAACAAAGCTTGAAAAGTTAACTTGTTTTGCAACTTTGTCAATAGCAACGCACTGCTCAGTATATTAAACTTTGAAAGGTGAAAATGACAACCTTATCTGTAAAATATTTTCCACAGCTTTTTCAAGTGTCTGTCGCTTGACCCCGGTCAGTCAAGCCTCTGTAACAGAGTTCAAAGAACTCAAAGAAGTGTTTTATTGCATCTGCGCATTCGTTATTGACCAATATTGCCAAGTTTGTTTGTTTGTTTATTTCGTTTTGTTTTGTTTTGTTTTGTTTTTTCCTTTTATGGACCAAGACAAAGTCAAAGAAAGCTAAGGGTTTATTACTCTGAGAACGAGGTTGGTTTATTTCCACATAGGTGTTACTGGGATGGATCTTTTGCTTTAGCTTGCTGGGCCGGTTCATGCATGTTTCACGTACGAAGGCAGATTGATGAAAAAGTTGCAGAGATTTATAAACGTTACATTATAACCTAACACAGATACCTAGCATCCCTTTTTTTTCTTTGTTTTTTAACGATTTTGGACCAGTGATGCCAATTTTGAAAGAGAGATTAAAAAAGTTGTAGTCTTGACCACTAGAAAAAAATCATTTCAGGACCTTGTGGATCTCGTAAAGTCTTAGAGCATCTTTTCCTAAACGAATAGATACTCTTGCAAACAGTGCTTATCTGGTTAAAGTTCGGCATTAAGTCTTACAACAGGTGCGTGATAGTACCACAGTACGAATCCAGATTAACGCGTGGCCATTACCTTATGGGGCCTGGGAACTGTACAAAGTCAAATCCACAACCTGGCATCCTTTGGTGGCCTACAGGATATTATTGGCCCAGAGCTCCAACTTTTAACCTCCCCCGCTGGAAAAGTTATTTTTTCAATTGCTGTTGTTCAAATTAGCCAATCGCAAATCGTCAAAGAAAAAACCCGCGTCCACGCCTAAATTTAAAAAAAAAAGTTTAAACATCTGGCCCCAGTGGTTCAAAAGTTGGATAGCGCTACCCACCGAATAATTCACTATCCCGGCGGGATAGCGCTATTGATTTCACTAATACTTCTCCGCTGGATAGTGATTTATCCGGTTGATAGCGCTATCCCCATTTTGAACAAGTGGGACCTGATGTCTGGGTTCCTGCTGATTTACGTGTACACGTAATCGCCGATTAAGCAGCGGTCTTTCAGTTTGTAAATCATTGCGTGTGATACAAATTTGTAGCGGAAATCATCCACTCTGACTTGGAAGTAAGGAGCTTAAGTCTGACAACGAAGGTGGTGGCCTCAAAAACATAGCCTGTGTACTGCACACAGGCTACAAAGACAGAGAATTTGCGATAAGCAAACTTCATTGCTCTTTACTGTATCAGTCCAGTTCAATTCGTCAAATATTGAGAATTTTTTTTTTTTTATATTTTATTTTATTTTTTTTTATTTTAACAAACAACAAATTAAATACAAGTTAAAAGTGACAAAAGAAAGAAAAACTACAAAACAAAAACAACAACAACAACAAAAAAAAACATCAATTGAGAGGAGAGCAGCAGGCTAAAAGCAAATAGCGAAGTTGATACATCTGGTCCTTTTTTCTTTTTTCTCTCCCTACTTTTTCGTTTCCTTTTTTTTCCTTGAGTACAAGGGCACAGTCGAAACCAAAACAAAAAAGAGATGTAGAGAAGATATTTATATTTAATTAGGTTTTGGAGACTCATTTAATTTGGATTTAATTTTAAACTACTGTGTCTAGCAAAAGCAAGAAAGTCTGCTGGATTCGTTTCTCCACATGGGGAAACTTTATTGTCTTTCATATCCGAGGGCAGTCCTATTTCTTCCGGCTTAGCGCGTTTCGTTCGAATTTCGTGAAAACGTGAAGGANACATCAATTGAGAGGAGAGCAGCAGGCTAAAAGCAAATAGCGAAGTTGATACATCTGGTCCTTTTTTCTTTTTTCTCTCCCTACTTTTTCGTTTCCTTTTTTTTCCTTGAGTACAAGGGCACAGTCGAAACCAAAACAAAAAAGAGATGTAGAGAAGATATTTATATTTAATTAGGTTTTGGAGACTCATTTAATTTGGATTTAATTTTAAACTACTGTGTCTAGCAAAAGCAAGAAAGTCTGCTGGATTCGTTTCTCCACATGGGGAAACTTTATTGTCTTTCATATCCGAGGGCAGTCCTATTTCTTCCGGCTTAGCGCGTTTCGTTCGAATTTCGTGAAAACGTGAAGGACAACAACGACTAACTGCAGAGTAAAAAAAATTGTGTGAACATTTCTGAAGGAAAACAACAACTTACTGCAGAATAAGCCGTTCCATTGACTTACAGCTGGTATTTCCTACAAGTTTCAGGATAGGAACGTTACCGGTCATACATACAATGTAATTTTAAAGGTATACTTGTACTGTGGTACTACCACCGAGCCTGGGTTACCTGTTGTTTTAGTGCTATCTGACTTGACAAAGCGATTTCCTTATTTGGTTTGAGTGCAACTACTTTTTTTGGGAATGAGATATTCATCTGTTGTTTGCAAAACCCCGCCATTATATTGTCCTGGGGTTACAGTATTTTTCAAAATCAAATACATAAATATATATATTTTACTGTCTCAGTTTTTTGAAATAAATTTTTGCCGGTCGCTTGATGCTGCTTTTGTAATCGTTATTTTGGATACGTTTTGTTCGGTCTTTTCTACGTTGTCTTTCAATGTCCCAGTTGGATGCAAACAAGAGCCATCCCCCGGCCCATTGTGGTTCCTGATGTATAGTGTCACGTCGTTTCCAAACTTTATCCATTGAATCCTGTATTTTAACAAAGACACCTGGAGATATATGGCTTATGATTGTATACCTAGGCCAAGGGAGTAGCTTTACCCTAGTGCGAAAAAAATATATTACTGCTATGAAATATTAATAACGTATGCGGGGTTCCCACCGCAGATGATAGGCAGATTCAATATGAATAGGTTTTATAGCTCAGTTTGACTTTCGGCGCTTAATTAAGAATGTTGCCTGCTATTAGAAGATTTATAATGCGACTAAACGGCTCATCACAATTTCCTTCAACTTTCCTGCAATGTAGAGTGTCAATTTTGAAACCGGCAATTTGCTCCAATTTTTACACCTTGTTTAGTAAATAAACATAAAGCAATTGAATGCACTAATTAACCAAGGTCTTATTATGGTAATGTGCTTGTCAGTTAGAAACACCTTTTTCTAAGCGGTAACTATTAAGAAGTCGAAATTTCGTGAAGAAAACCACACTGAACAGGCACTGCACACCGCAGTTCAGTTTTCCAGGTAAGTGTTTCTTGATCAGCTGTGAACGAAGTCGTATGTATTAGTCATTTCCACGTTTCATGAGGGTTTATTTTAATCGAGAACTGTTGAAACGTGGACGTGGTTGTCGTTTGAACCTATCATGCCGAAGCCTAATCACTTTGATACGACCAGTAAATATTCTTTTCAAAAACTGCCAAGATCAAACAACTGGATGTCTAATGTTCGACTCAGAGATGGAGTAACTCGTGTCAGGAAAGTCACTCCTTAAAACAGTTTTTATATCTGCATGGCACCTGATGCCACGGAGAAAATGGTTTTTAGAAAAGACTTCTCACTTCATTTAATTCAATTGATCGTTAAACTAGCACCACCTCCACTCAGATGTGTACAACGTTTGCAAGCTATCACCCAGCAATCTGAGCATTGTAACAAAGTTTTAAAATGTGGCGTTCACAAGCGGAATTACATGTAGGTGTATGCATACAGGGTGGTATAGTTGATTTGTGAGAAGACAAAAGTTACAAGCGATTGAAGAAAGAAGAAAAAGAAATAAACCAGTTCATCAAATATGTTTCATAAACGAAGGAATAGGTTTGTAACGAATACCAAACGTTTAATTTTATGATACTGTCTTAAATGACATTTAACTCGGATTCAAAGTCACTGAACTAAATAAATTAAAACACTCTAAATGGTGGAAAGTTGATCTTCGCAGGTATCGCTAGTGCTAAACTTGCAACGAGCGAACAAAAATAAAGAAGATATCTGCTAAATAACCAATTTAATGTGTCCTGGCAGAATCAAATGGCTGTTGTTTAGTGACGTGATACAAAAACGCCTTGTTGGAGAGCCAGCTCAGTGGACAAGAAAAACGAAAAACTTGCGCCTTTTAATTTGTAATAATGACCTCCTGTTCCACGTCAGTGGCCTGCCCTTCATTTATTGAAAATAATAATCTGTTCAAAACAATGGAAAGGTGCTTTAAATATAGGATAATACCTGAACTACAAGGCCTTCTTAAAAATGCGCGCTCGGTCATTTTTTTCAGGAAGGCCGAGGAGCGAGGGCATTATCCGATTTAATGCGCCTTTCCATTGTTTTAGAACCAGCAGGTCATTATTGTGGCCACTGAAATGGAGCAGTAGGTTATTATTCGTTGAAATGACCTCCTGTTCCACGTCAGTGACCTGCCCTTCATTTATTAAAAATAATAATCTGTTCAAAACAATGGAAAAGAGAATTAAAGGCTCATACTGACTGACCAGGTGAAAAAGGGTCGTTTGCTTCACTTCTTGAAATAAGGCTCTATTTCGAACATTTTTTGGGAAGGCATAAATTAAGACAAGGCACGATCAAGGCTCACTGAGAAATAGGTTGAGTTAAATAATTCTTAATCAGGATTCCATAGAGGACCTAACTTGAGACGTGTCATGTAAACATTGGAGGTTTATCCTTTTTCTCCAGCCTTAATTTTGGTGACCTCCAGTCAGCGTTAAGTCACTTGATCATGACTTAGAGAGCGGAGGAGGTGCCTGAAATTCAGCCTGCTCTTGCTCTAGCCGATTGTAAAGGGACG